GACCGTACGGAAGCGGGACAGTGAGGGGAGACTGTCCTCTAGTTAATTGATCGCAAGTACTTGTACTGGGAGCACGATGAAGCAACGACGCAAAACACAATGTTATAGAGAAGCATAGAATGTTCGGTTATGAAACTGTAGCGGGACAAATTGGTGGACTGCCAGAGTCTAGGCAATTAATGGGAAATGCTGTGCTTCTTACTCCACTATATTTATTTGACAGCTATACTACTACTTGGTAAATTTACATACATATCTCATGATCTCATAAAAAAGGACTGAAATGTATGACTGTAGGTAGATATCGACAGTAACAGAAAAACACATACAGCGTTGCCACTTTATACAGTTGTCCTCTAACTGTAACATTAATTTGGCCACAGCATGGGCTAAAATACAATAAAAAATTTCCAGGACAACGTAGATCATTTCTGGAATATTTGGTGAAATTAGTTAATGTCCAGGTGTTTCCATGACTGGAAAACTAGTCTCTAAATTTCCAGGATGTATGGGATCCTTACATAACTCAGAAATGCTTGCAATATCTTGTAGAATTTCTAAGCGGTATACTTTAACTTCTCCCCTAACGCATTGTGTGCGAGACGCAGGTACTGTTGTTTTCCATCTGAGGAGGAGGCATCGCTACGAGGGAGTTGGGCTCATTGCGATTATAACTACCCTTTTCCTGTAATCTAGAACAAATATTTATCTACAGCAGTGAAGAGGCAACACTACTGAGTGGAGCTGCAGTTTTTGTTAATGCTAACACTGGCCAACTTTTCAACGCTTTTATTGTGAAGGAGCTACAGCTTCCTGTAGCTACAGTCAACACTAACTAACAACACATTACTAACTGCCAACTGCATGGCATGTCAACATAGGTGAAGCTGGCATACAGTGGGAAAATACAATGAAATGGAAATGGTTTATGACAGATACTGCTTACCTGTCTTTTCTGTCCGATCCTGTGGGCTCTGGCCTGAGCCTGCAGATCATTCTGAGGGTTCCAGTCTGAGTCAAAGATGACGACTGTGTCAGCTGATGCCAGATTGATACCCAGACCTCCTGCTCGGGTTGATAACAAGAAGCAGAAATCCTGTGCAAACAAGTGGAGGTTCACAATATGTTACAGTCCTGGTTTATTAAAATGAAGCACAGAAAGCATTTTCTGTATCCAGGCCATAGAACTTACCTCTGAACCTTCAGCATTAAAATGATCCAGCGCCTGCTTCCTCATCTCCCCTTTGATGGAGCCATCTAATCTCTACACAGAATTACAACATTTAGAACATTTTTTATTTTTTTTTACAGAAATGTGTAGCTGGCATTTCATATTACCTGGTTGGGTGGAATGGAAGTGTTTTTCTGGAGCATATCTGTGCATGTATGTATACTGTACTGATGGTCATGTGAGAACAGCGTGTAGTTACCTGAAAGAGGAACTGTCGGCTCCTCAGGTAGTCAGCCAGGATGTCAAGCATCCGTACCATCTGGGAGAAGATGAGGACTCTGTGGCCTCGCTCTTTCAAACGCAGCAGCAGTTTGTCTAACAGAACCAGCTTCCCACTGCTGCGGATCAGTTGCTGTAAAAGGGAAAAAAGGAGCTAACAGTTACTTGTCTATCCTCTATAACTGGAAACCTATTATATATCCAGATTTTATTTTGATAAAAACCTAATTACAAAATTCTGAAATTTTAAAAATATACAATCGTCCAGCACTAACAGAAACACGGATGTTGCAACACAATAGCATATAATATGCAGACCTGTAAGGCTTCAGCTCTGTTAAGGAACTCGTTGTCCTCTGGTGGCTTGATAAGGTAACAGTGGTTACAACACTTCTTCAGCTCCATCATAATGTTCAGGAAGCCTGACGTGCTGCCTTTGGTACCTTTACTTAGAGCCTTGTAGTTCCTGGTCAAGATCCATCTGATCACAAATAGAAGAAATAAACATAATCATTAGTAGAGTTTTCTATAAATTACTCTATGATTTCTCGTAGCAAAATTAGATTAACTAGAAATATCCTCTTCCATAACGACTGACTCTTCTCTCTGTTACTCGACACCACAGGCACTGTGACACAGTATTGTTGCCAGTGAGCAATTGTTGGCCCCTAACAAAAATAAGATGTTGTCATAATAAAATGGTTATGTGTCAAAATGTCATTGGAACATTACTACTTCACTACTATACTAATTTTGCGTCCAATGAAACACCTTCTCATTTATGACACCTGAGTGTTTCTGAGGGCCGATGTATTACATCCATCTATGGCCTTACTGATTACTGCACAAAAGCACTGTATAACTTTATTCAGTGATTTTGGTGAAACTGGATCATATTTTCATGGAGAAAATATTATCTGGTTTTCCCTCTGATGTCCTCTGGCTGCTCTGCTTCAGCTCTCTGTGATTAGTTTTGATTAGTTTCCTGAAGGACAGATAGCCTACTGGCTAAAGTAACTCATCGCTAATTAACTGCTGTTAACTGTATTTGCTGTTAGCAGGGTTGAACACAGCCCCCGAGATGGACTGGGAATAACATTTCAGTACCGAGGTCATTTACAGAGTTTCCTGATAGTTTCTGGAAAGATTGCTAATTAACGATCTGCTAACTGCCATTAGCTCGGTCAGCCGTGCAACTAACCTAACCGACTCAGAGAGCTCTTACTTGTAATACTGTTTCTGGATAGCACTCATCTCCACTCGAAGGATCTGCTCCACTTTGGCAGGTAGAGATTTCTCCACATCCTTCTTGACTCGGCGCAGTAGAAAAGGTTCTAGCTCTTTGTGCAGACTGGTGTAACCCGAGTCCCTGCCTTTACCATGTTCCTCCTCAAACAGCTCCCAAGAGTGAAACCTTGAAAGAACATGACATACAACGCACATCAGTGGGGAGTAGCAACTTTTTATTCCACGCATTCTTCGCATTGTAAAACGACAAATTACTGTGTATTTTAAATTATATTATTCTAATTTTTTAAGTTAAGTGAAGCTTTTTACGTTGTAGTTGCCAATTCATATATTGCATCATTTGATGGGCAGAGAAAAGGCAGTACAGTAATTAAAGCCTTTAGTATATCCATGATTGTATCAAGAGGTACTAAACATACTCAGAACACCTCACATCCCCACAGAAAGGTAAGAAATTAGTTGTTCTATAAGTGTAACAATTGATATGGCCTACTTCTCGGGCATGATGAAGTGCAGCAGGGACCAGAGCTCTTTGAGGGAGTTCTGCAGTGGCGTTCCTGTGATAAGGAGCCTGTGATTTGACTTGAAGTCGATCATGGTCTTGTAGAGGAGGGAGTCATCATTCTTCAGTCGGTGTGCCTCATCCACACCAATGAAGGCCCAGCTAACACTGCCCAAAAATGACTGCAGACACACATTTGTTACAGGTTTTACATGTGTTAATATCACACTGCACAGGTTTAGAACTGACCGTTAGCATTTCATATATGCTAAACTCCAGAAAACTGATTAAGTGGCAAACAACAGCAAGACTATAATCCATGATAAAGTGAAATAGCTGCTGACCTTGTCTTTGAGAAGAATCTCATATGTTGTGAGGAGGATGTTAAATTTCATTCTTTTGCTATGCACGTGCATCCACTCGTGTGTCCTAATCTATTAAATGAAAACACAGGAGAAAAGGAAACAAAATAACACAAATGTTAGGACTTCATTAACACATTCAAGCCTTTGCTGCTTGCATCCACACATCTTAACCTTTAATTACAGGAAAAGGGGAACTACCATACCATGTTTCTGCTGCCAATGTCTCCTAGGTAGACCACAACATTCATCTGTGGGGCCCAGAGCAGATTTTCTCTCTGCCAAGAGGTAAGTGTAGAGAGAGGCACAACCAGCAAGAAGGGCCCGTACAGTTGGTGCTCATTAAACAGGTAGTTGAGGAAGGAGATGGTCTGGATGGTCTTCCCTAAACCCATCTCATCAGCAAGAATGCAACTGTTACCTCTATGAGAGAAGACAGAGTAGAAGAGAGCAAAAATTGAGATTGTGGGCTTGCAAAGTGACAACGATCCAACAATCATGGGATTTATTCCATTTATATATTAGGTGCAACTGTAGATTTGAGGGTATACAGGGAAAACTATAATTACAGAATGGAATTTGAGATAATGCAGTGCTGAGAAATGAAGGATTGCTTGAATCATACTTGCACCAGGAGTGGGCCATCCAGTTCAAACTGTCCAACTGGTAGTCTCGGAGCTCCAGTCCATCACCTCCTATGTAAGCTGGCTGCTTCTTCATGGGCACAAACCTGGGTCTCTGTTTTAGCACCTACAGGAAAAAATAACAGCTGGTAAGGGTGTAATGGTATGTGTATTTATCCCAAACCGTTTGGTGTGCTACTTCCTCGGTTTGGTACGGCCTGTAACTCAAACAACTCTCAAAACAATCTACTTAGGTCCATGTCTTTAAGCGTGGAAAGGGAATAGTGTGCAGACCACAAGTTTTGATAATGCATATGTTGTTGTATATTAGTTATAGCATGCTGGTCGGCTGAGCCCAGCTAACCAGTTTAGCCAAGCTCATGCGTAAACTGTTCCAAAACCAAGGTTTATACAGAACTGTGAATTTTGTGTACTGTTAACACCCTAGCACCTGGTGAAGTTAGTCTTCAAGCAAAAACTCACAGTTCCGTTTATTTAAGATTGGAAACTGACACAGAAGAGATCACACCAAGCTACACTAAATTCAAAACTTAGGGTGTATCTACCAAGGTGTAACGCATTACTAACATAGAGACACTGCCCATAGAGACATGGCAGCAAGTTACCTTGCAGTCTCTGGATGGAATGGTCTTGGACTGGTTTCGGCTCATATAGTCATCGATGCATTTCTGGAACTTTCTGGCAATCAGGGCACCGTCTTCCCAGCTGCACTCCGAGTATGGTAAACCCTGCCACTTGCACAGGTAGTCCGGGTAACCAGCCGCTGACTTCTGGTTTGAATGTCCTGCTCAAAGGAATTCAGAGACCTATTTAGTCACACAAATCCAGTGGCATCAAATATATTAAAAACAACAAACGATACAGACAGAAGCGCACCTATGATTCGCTCTACAAGCTGGTACTGAGAGTGCAGGTCATCCATCAATTCTTCCTGACAATTGAAATACTCTATATCCTCTGGTGAAGCCGCCTTTAACCTGGGGAGAGAAAATAAAGCATTAGAAAGTAAGCAATAGACTGCATACCATCATCACCCAATCAACCAACAAATGTATGTTTGTCTGTCATGTGGTTGTCGTCATATTTGTCCTAGTAGTCTTATGGCTCAGAGGTCAGTAGAAGACTGGGCAGCCTTCACTGTCAGTGTATAAAACTATAAGATAACAAGCTCTCACCATTTCTTTTTCTCCTGGTCTTTCTTCTTGAAATTGTCCAGTTTCTTCATGCCCTTGACATTCTGTAACTTGAGTGTCTCCTCTGTCTCCCAAGTGTTGTGGATGTGGGCCCAGTTCTTCCACTTAATCAAATACTGGATCTCACCGACCTCTTTGTTGGGATTGAAGTTGGCATTGGGGTCCCCGTCTGCTTCTACAGCGTATACAGTGGTTACACTTCCTGTTGCTGTTAGAGAAAAAAGGCAACAATACAACTTCTCTTTATTCATCCTTACTGGGTTAAAATATTTTTTTGTCCTTAATTAATCCTTAAATTCCATACCTGGCTAAATCCCCGTCTATATCATGGACTAAGGATGAGCATTTTAAGTCATTTCCATATACAAGCAGCACCAAGTAGCACTGTGTTCCTTACCTCTCTTCCTTCCTATCCTGCTGTCCATCACTCTCTCCAGTGTTTCAAACTCATCCTCCTCAGGCTGGGGGACATCTTCACCAAGTACTTCCACCAGGTCATCTGAGTCTGTTTTCAGCTCCTCATCCTCCTTGTAGCTGATGTTCACTGTGGCTTGCCGCCGTGGACCCGCAGACGCCACCTTCTTGTAGCCGTCGTCCTCGTCCTCAGAAGAAGAACCCTTTTTGGCTTTCTTCTTCTGGCTGCTGCTTTTCTTACCATTTCGAAAACTCATCCTTAGACATGACAAGAGGTGAAGAGGTAATGGGGCACTCTTTGTATTCCTTTAAAGATCACAGGTCTTACAATCAATACCTAAACAACTTAGGTGAATGACTACTACAATGGGAAATAGTGCTCCCCTCCACTCACGTTTTATGATTAATATTTTAACATGGTTATTGGATAACATGGATGCATGAATGCCCCGCCCACCACCGCTGCTAAAGAACTGTTGCATTGAGATTGCCAGGGTTAGAGGAAACACTGGAGAGATCCAGCTGTAGTCTACATGTTTGAACCTCAGTCCGACCCAAATAAGGGGCAGACAAATCAGAATGGTAAGTGTAGTTAGCATCTTTGTTTGTTAGCTAGTGAGCTTTAACAGGCGGTGTCTGAGACAACGTTACTGGTTGTAAAATATGTAATATCTGCTACAATGTTAAAGTATGTTCACATTGTTATTATGTAGTAGATAGTGGAAGGAAGCTCCAGGGTCTGGTTTATGTCCAAAAACAGCACACTCTACCATGTTTGCTATCAAAACCTTCACTATACAAGTGCTAACTCATGCTCCCTGTACTGAAAAAGTCAGCTGGAGGCTTCAGGTTTCTTTGTCAGTGGCATTTGCTAAAAAAGTTATTGGCTTTTTTTGTTGCCCTGAATTAGAGGAATGTCGAACCACCTCTTTAGTGACAAACTTTGCACGGATACAAGTCAAGTTCTGACATTTTAGAAGGACATAAACAAAAACCCAGTGTACTCAGCCAGCTAGCAAAGAGTAACTGTCCACTTACTTGGTTGGGGGCTTTCTGCTTTTGATTTTGTGACTGGGCTCATAGTCTGATGCCGTTTCGTCACTGTTGCCCTCTGCGGATGAATCTGATCCAGAACCCGATCCAGACCCAGAACCCGATCCAGAAGAGGAGCCTGAATTTCTTCTCCTTTTAGATCCACTTGATGAGTCAGATTCATCGCTACTTGATGAGTCCTAGAAAAGATCATCATTGAAGAGATTATGTTCATAAATAATCACATGATGCACCTCCAATTACAGATGTTACATTTAATTACACTTGTGACATCTCCAAATGGTGTTCGCAGTCAAATGGCACAGTGTATTGGGGATCAGTTTGAAACAAACCTCATCAGATCCACTATTCGAGGAGCTTTGTCTCTGTTGCTGCTGCTGTTGCTGCTGCTGAAGCTGTTGTTTCCTGAGCATAGCAGATCTTTGCACTGCTAGGATACTTGGGTTGGACTTCCAGAACTGCAATTTAAATAGCACAGTTAAGTCAAAAATATGTGAACACCTTAAAAGCTTTCACATGACAAGAGCTGACCACTGTGTTAAACACCCAAAATGAACTGTGTGCCAATGGCAGAGTTCTGAAACTGTGTCAAACTAGGTCAAAGGTCAAACTATCTGAACTCTGAGTATTGTGACTCTACATTCCTAAACAGAGATATAATAAAATGCTCAGTCTATTTTTTCAAGCTTTATAGTTAACACATAATGACATGAACATTTTATCATCAGAATAATTTCATTTTCTCCACGTCCAGTTGGAGAAACAAATAAGAAGCAATCTTTGAAATCACATTTCTTTACCTCAGCTCCATCGATGTTTGACTTATTTGGCGGTTCCATCTTCTCCTTAGATTTCTCCGTGTCAGAATCTGACTGGCTGCCAGAGTCTGAGCCACTACCTGAGTCACTGCTCCCTGATTGGCTGCTGCTGCTGGAGGAGCTGGAACTGGAGCCTGAGCCGGACCCTGATGCCGAGCCAGATCCAGAACCGGATTCATCATCAGAATTACTGTGTCATGTAAGAGAAAAATCACAAAAAAAAAAAACATACATGTGCATTAGTAATTAATATGTGGGGCGGCTGTGGCTCAGAGGCAGAGCAGGTCGTCCACTAATCGGAAGGTTGGTGGTTCGATCCCCGGCTCCTCCTGCCACATGTTAAGTAT